CTAGTAAATTTTAGTTGAATTATATTCACCTAGTAAGCACAAATCACCTAGGTCACTGAACTGACAACTTAAGAAAACGTATCAATTAAAATATGTATATATTTGGATGACAATCTGATTTCGTATTTTAGGGATATAGATCTTAACACTGCAAGCTTCAATAAATGCAATCTGTACTATGACTTTTTAATATAGCCTTCATCAAAATTCTAAAGGCTCTGAAATAATCAATAGGTTTATAGAGTGTACTTGGTGCAGAATAATTCTGAAAGTACTTTAACATAACATTTGCTATATTAATTAGGTCATAACATATGTTTGTTTCCTGGCGTAGTATATTATCCGGTACCGTACTGTATTTTACCAGTCTCGTTTCATCTGGTCAGTAGTGAGTTAGCCTCCAAAGGCCTCAGGATGGTCGGGGGTGGGTGCCTTGCGCTGCAGGTTGGCCACCCCTCCGCACACCTCTTGAAATGCTCCCATATGACCGGGCGTCTTACATAGCCTCTCCTGAGGAAGTCCTACTCACTGCCTTCACGTGGCGGAGGTGTTTTCCACCAAAGTGAGAGGGCGAAAGCGGATGCCTGGCGCTCTTCACCGGGTTGACTGTCCATTGGATGACAGTCTAGGGGAGATGGCTAAACCCTGATTCCAAACCTCCAACGACTGGCGTATGAAGATCACTGGAGCTCACCGGCAGACGTATGGACAAAGGGCTTGTTGGATGTCCTGGATGTCTGGCCCCATTCAAAAAGGCGTATGAACCGAACTCCGGTCACCGGCTGCCAATGGATAGTGGACTCCCTACTCCACTCCTACTGCCTTGTAGGTCACACTTGGTTGTGTAAAGGCTAGAGCTGCACTCTCAAACAAAAGGCCGAGCGATTCTGGGGACATCACTCGTACCAAATTCCCATGAGACTTCATGAACTCTCTTACAGATCGCCGCGCCTGGGCAGCGATGATTCGAGATGTTCATGAAGCCGGCTCATCCTCCCGTAGGAGATAGCCGAAGTAAAGAAAGAAGAAGAAGAGTTAGCTGACACACTAGATACTAGTGAATCTATAGAATTCATAAGTGTATGAATTTTCACTGCTCACTGGGGTTAGGAGGTCTGTATTTTTCAACATGTTTGGTGTGACAGTGCAGTCCCTATTCTAATAAAATGCTTACAGTTTTAACACTCAACAGAATAGTGGTTATTTGTTTGTTTCTTCAGTTGAGAATTAAGTTGTGCTGTCTTTATGGTGACTGTCTCATACCTAAGTGCTTATCGCTTATCTTCAGGACTACATGTTGACTAAGTGTGTATGATCATACGCATGTTTCATGACATATGTTGTTGATAATGGATTCCTTATTTTTATTAGTTTACACAGCCGGTTTGAAAAATTTTGAAGGATTTTTAGCATTTCAGATTTAGCAGACGTGTTAATGTTATACTTTAAGTTCTATTTTCTTCAAGAAATACAACATTTCTTACGACATATTGATAAAAGACTTATCATTCGATAATAGTCGAATAATTGGATTTTGTACCTGATGGCACTCGTCAGTAAGGCGTATCTGACTAAATGGTTTTAACATAGAACTTTGCACCGATGCGCAGCAGTTCTGTAGTCAGTCGATGTAATATGACCTTGGTAACTTACCTGAATTCAGACATTTTACATTAGAGAGTAGTTAGCGTGAAATACCTTGCGTTTCCAGTATTTTGAAAATCATAGAAGTCATAAAATAAGAATTTTTGGAAGTTTTTCCCATAAAAGCCGATATCCTGTAGGTTTTCTTGATGAATTTTCACTATTTGACAAGTTTCTTCAGTGTCTGACTGACCCATCAACGTTGTAGTTCTTATAAATGTTCATTTTCTTCGAGTCGCCAAACTTTGGAGTAGCACATTAAAATAGCGATGAAATGCGATGCAACTACGACAGAGAAAATTAGATGATTATGGAGCGTTTCCAGAATCTTGATTATCACAAGAAGTGAATACACCTGCACCGTTTCAAACGACGTTTTCATTTCGTACTGCAGATATTCTTGATGTTTTATTTGGTTTATTTATTATTTGGTAAATTATTTATCCTAACTCCTTTACATAAAGCAAAGTACTTGATTTACTGTACTACTTCACTAAATTAATTATTTCTTGGTCACGAGCTCCACAATCTCTGGAATCAAGTGTCAAATCTCAAATTGGCTATTTTTATTCTAGGAAAAAGCTGTCCCAGGACACTATATTTATCACTAACTTTTATTGGCTAAATATGAACCCTCTAGAGACATAAATGGTCTTCGCTTTTTTCAATCAACTGCAGTCTTTTGGAGTAGACGTTTGTCTGTTCTATTTTCAACTATGTAAACTGTATATTCTAAAACATGTATCGTCGTGTTCAAGTCCAGGAAACAATCAGTTCCAATACAAGTAGCCTAGAAGGTGTGAAAACACAAAAACAACCAATCATGTCCAAGGTCACCAGAAGAGATGATTAATAAACTCACTTCAAATTGAAGTATGCGCTGAAGATGTCGCCTAGTAGGGCGATGAAAGCTTCGCAAATTAACTATCCAGCTCAGAGAACACAACCACATCAAAATCATCCACCTGAGTTACAAATCTTCTGCATCATATCGTCGTGTATGCTAAATATGGCTTGCTCCATTCTGTTAGTTTCAGACTTTGTTTATCATTTAATTGACATAGTAAACTTGTGTGAAGTTCCTTATTGTTCCTCTGTCCTACCGTATCAAGTAAAGACGCTGAAACTATGCAGTTTTTTGAAGTTCTCTCCGTGTTTCTTTACTTTTTACTTTTAAGCGCAGATCGGCGTAAAGACTAAATAAAGGCATAAATCGTTGGCATAAATATTGCATCTAACATATCGTAAAATCTTGTGTTATATACTACAGTATATGTGTATTCAGTGAATGTATGACGTCCAGATAGCCTACCTATTTCACTTCAAACAGAAACAGGAGCAGAAGTAGTAGTTCGACTGTTTAATGTTCGGAAAATGACTTATCACGTTCTGTATTTCTGTCGTCGGAATGTGGCAAAAATATCGATTTTTATTTTAGGCACTGTAACAAATTCAAATTCAGTGTAACTACAAGTTCTGTTATCAGATATTCTGGTTCGCTGTACATAACATTTCGCTTCAATTCTATTCACTAACTCGGAGTGGTGTACACAATTATTATTTGCATATCACTAAATGTTATACTCATCATATAACCAGAAACGCATTTCTTTGTGTCACAGGTGTCACCTTCGGTGTTGTGATTCTTTCGATGAACCGGGTAATCTAACTGACTAAGTGTTCGACTTTGGAACTTTACACAAAAGTGCAGCTGTCCACCTTATTACACCCCGTACAGTACACAAATGTAGAGAAAAAAGAACTATGGTGATTATTAATGTACGGGAGAAAGAATAATTGCATGAAGAATCATGAACATTTAATTAATTTGGAAGACTAAAAAGAGTGGATCTATCTATTCCATTGAAAACGGTTTTGATCTACATCACCAACAGTTTCAAAAACATTGGTTCTCAGCGTTTCAAGGACCCCAGTCAGACAGTCTACAACTTCCTGTGTGGCTCACACATACAGTCAAAGACTTGATAGATTGACGCCAGGTTTCAATCTGACCCCACCCCTAACTCCTCCCCAACCTAACCGCTTGTTGGCTAACATTAGTCGATGAGGAGGGTCGAGCTTGGTATGAGTGACACGTGTTCCAGCCATCTCAACCGATGTAACTTCCCAACTTCACTGATTAACTTTCCCCGCTTACCTAACGCCACACCTCAATATCACTCACCATATTATACCAACAAAGATGAGAAATAGAGCGCAACTATCTGTGATCAGAGACAGCTAACCTCTTCAAATCTTCAACTTTCAATGATCACGTGTCACAGGTGTAAAGAGGGACAGAGCGAACACACGTCTTTTGGTCGATATCAGGATATCACGTGTATGCTAGAAATGACTTGATTCAAAAATGCCACACCAGCCGCATTGAGATTTTGCCCTCAATAAGTTTATTAGGACTGATGCAACTTCCTAAATTAATGAAGTAGTCAGCACACTCAACCAGTTCACTCCCTATCTTTAAAATAAGAGTCATTGCAAACCAGTTCTATAGCACTATCTTGCATTTGACAGGAGCAAATCTTATTGTGGTGAGAGCTGTCTACTAGCCAAATTGGTAGACAGTAATTTACGTCAATGTTTACGTTCCCAAGATTTGTCGTGAGAAAATGTGAACAAAGATTGATTCAAAACCGACCACATCAGACTTTGCGTAGGCGGATGCAGTTAACATATAGATGATTTGACATTCAAGAAACAGTCACAAAGAGATGAAAGATTAATTTTAAGTGAGAAACAACCAATCGGAAGACTGTGTTTGTTCACTTAACTATCCATAATAATGTACATGAAAATATATAAATATGCGTTGATTTCCTTAATAAATGATCTGTTGCCTGACTCTTGCCTTCTGTCGTTAATTATCCCCTTAAAACAAAGTTTTTGCTCAAGGTGTCTCCATCTAGAAGGTCAATATCACCTATATATTCTAAACTGATAAGACTTCCATAGTGACCAGTCAATTCCTAAGTCTCTAAAGTCAATTAAGGTCACATCAATGAGTACACCTTTGATGAAATCAAATAGAAATGGAGACATTCGGATATCCCTGACGGACACCATTGTCTGTCACTTCTTAAGAAGACAGCTCTGTAAGCTCTTGAACGACTTCGTGATTTCGAGTAGAGTGCCTTGATTAGTGCTATATCAGCTTTTAGTCATCTCGTAATAAGCGCAGCTTAAAAACACTTGGTGTTACCTGAGTATATATATATATATATATACGCTTTTAGCTTTGTGTATTACTTTACAGTAATTAATACATATAAATTTATCACTTAAATTAGTAATCATGTAATAAAGTGCATTTTTTAACACAAATTTTAGACTAATCACATATGACACTTGAATGTAAAAAGCCTTCGTGCTCTGAAATAAAATCTCAGTTAGATAAGTATCGTCTGGAACATTTAACACCGTGTGAAGTGGAACTTACACTCCCGACAGTTGTTGAAAAATCTGCAGAAAAGTCAGATGAAGTAATATACCTTTGTTTTTTATGTAACCACTTTATTATTTAAGAATATATATTAATACAATATACAGAAAGCTAACAATTTAAGTGGTAATTCCTCAGTTCGCCTACATCTTAGTAATAATTATCAAAATATTGTATTCGCTTCAGAAGAAAAAACAGGAAAGAATTGTATTTCATGGGTGTATTTTAATCTTAGTCAACAAGCCGATATACGGCGTATTGGTTAAATTTTGATAACCTTAGTTGTATTAGAATTATAACCGTTAGGAACTGAGTGTTTCATCCATCTGATAGTTCAGTGAAAACAGCCCCTTTTCTAACCAAACTTTTATTTCAAAGTAACTTGTAATAAAAGAAAATTATTGACGTAATTAATAATTTTGTGCCAAATGTCCAGTCAGTCAGTAAAACCGTAAATCGATAACTAGGCGTGAACTGTACAAGGACTAAGAACAAGATTAGTCTAAGGTATTTGCTCTCTCTCTCTATATATATATATATATATATATATATATATATATATATATATATATATATATATAAGCGTATCGATTTGAAGCTCCTGGTAGAATGTTAAACAACCCAACAGTTTAAGAATAGATTATGGCTAGCATGCCAAGTAATCCACAACGGGAGACTTACGGAATCCTTCGAAGTGAGGACAGGAGTAAGACAAGGCTGCCTACTATCGCCCATAATTTTCCTGATTGCAGTAGATTGGATAATGCGACAAACAGCGGGCGATGAGGAAACAGGCATAAAATGGACTCACACAAAAAACTTGGAGGATCTGGACTTCGCCGATGATATATGTCTGATTTCCCACAAACTGGAAGATATGCAAGCGAAAAGCAGCAAGTTGGCAGAAGAAGCATCAAAGATAGGACTCCAGGTGAACATAGAGAAAACAGACGTAGATGATGAAGATTGCTGGACAAGAACAACAACAACAGACAACGATCAGCATAAATGGGAGGAACCTGAAAGAAACAACCTCTTTTACCTACCTGGGAAGCATCGTTTCAACTACAGGCGGAACTGACGAGGATATCAAAGCAAGAATCGGAAAGCAAGACAAGCTTTCACTACTCTCAAGTCTGTGTGGAGGTCAACAGCACTCAGCATCAAAAATAAGATCCGGATTTTCAACTCCAATATGAAGTCAGTGCTACTATACGGATCAGGGACTTGGCGCATCTCAAACAAACTACAGACCTCCATTAACAGTTGTCTTCGCTTAATACTCAAGATCAGATGGCCGGCCAGAAAAGATCAGCAACAGAGACCTCTGGGAGCGAACCAACTCAGCAGGAACCGATTGTGAAACAAATAGGCAGGAAGAAATCGGGATGGATTGGCCATACTCTGAGGAAACAAACCATCAAGTGACATCACTAGACAAGCCATTGCTCGAGTGGAACCCGAAAGGGAAGCGGTGAGTTGGTCGTCAGTGCAAGGGTGATGGTGACTTGGAGGAGGTCATGTGAAGAGGAGATGAGAGCGTGTCGGCAGACATGGAGCCAGGTGAAAACTCTAGCAGAGAACCGAACGCAATGGAGACGCACGGCTGAAGCCCTATGTTCCTCTAGGAATTAAAGGAAATAATAATAATTGGTAAATTTGTCAGCTTTTGCAGTATCATTTTCATGCCTCATTGACATTAGAAAATACTATTTCCAGTCAGTTCATCTTTTCATCAGTTGCTTCGTACTATTTTATAAAATGAAAATCCTTCAGATTTTCTAGATTATCTAAAGTGTTTGATGTATTAAGAAATTTTGCAATCGCTTATCTGTGTTAGAACACACTTGCATTTATTGCCTAAACCAAGACACTTTTGGTAGTAGTCCTTGCTACTGAATAAGAATATGATTTAAGTTTGCATTTTTATTTCATTTTAAGCTATTTGGATTTACTCGTTTGCTCTTAACAGGTGTTAGTATTCTTATTAGCAATTGAGCTCAGGATAAATAACTGCAAACATAAGATTTAATCCTCCATACTAGTCAGTTATCATATCATTTTTTTTAACTACTTCTGTACCACTGAAATCAAATCTTTTGCATCTCCATTTATTTTCCAAATAAAACTTGCCAGTGTATAAGACGCACTTCTTTTTATTCACGAATTAGTAATCCATTCACACGTATTCTTACCTGTTATTGACGTATTGTGTGAAATGATCAGTCTGTCATTGAGATAAGAACTCTTTTTTGGATGTCTTGATATCGCCAATGGAGGTATTGGTTATAAGTGTAGCAATAAAAATCAAAGATACACTTTTCATTAAAACATAAGTTCAGTTTGTGAATCAACAGTAGAGAGTTCAAAAATTCCACTACACTTTGCACATAATATAGATATTGTAACTGAGTAATATATTGAATAACGTTCATATATTAAAGATTGTTAGTATAGATTTAGAAGGCGGGTATAGAAGTCATCTGTACATCTGGTAAGCATTGAGTGACAGTGTAGCCCCATTATTAACTATTACCACATTTGCCGTTTATACACATACATTGCAAAAAGTCACTATTAATTTCATTTAAGTGATTCTATACTTTATATTTGTTTTTCTTAATTTCAGACCCCATCAAGATTTATTGCAATTTTGAATTTATGGTATATTCAGCTTACCATTACTTTTCTTTTATGGATAGCAGCTATACTGATTGAGTTCGGGGCTGTATTTTTTGTCATTGCATCATTATACTGGTTATGGGTATGGGGTACAACAAGAAATCCTAAACCACGTGTATCGAATAATCCTGATGAACAAATTATATCAGCTGGTTTCTTTTTCGATACTTCACCTATTCCCTCTAAAGGTGTTTTTTAGTGGGACTTTTTTCCTCTCCTAATAATCACAATGTTTATATGATACTTCACGTCTTTCTGGGTTAATATTTGTGCTTTCAAATAATTTTATTTTTATTTTTTTGTATTTCATTGAAAATGTAAGTATTTCAATTCCTTGCCTTATGTGATTAAAGATAAATTCTTAATGAAATCAAAATTTTCGGGTGTTTTTTCTTCATTTACACTGTAACCTTGAGGCAGATGATGTCGAGTACTTTTCGAGGCATTCACATTGTAACAGCAGAAGGCAAGACACGGAAGCCAACGTATATTTTCAAATGATCGAACAGCTATTTATATCTACACAGTTTGTATTCTTTAACCAATCACTGAGCGTGTGATTTTGGTTTACATTAAATGACATGAAATAGAATGTTCAAATATATATATGTAGTATTCTATTGCTAATGCAGTGTTGAACTGTGAGAATAGTATTCAGATGTCAACACCAACAAATACAATGTGAGAATAATATTCTGTTGGAACCCATTGTCTGTATCACACCACCACAACATGGTCACAAACTGACCACCATATTAAATTTAGTACTGCAGTTTGAAGTTAGTTACCTTAATCATATATTCCATTTATCAGGCTATTAGAGGCACATATTGTGTTGGGGGGAGGTGGGGAGCTGGTGATAGTAACCATTTGGTCAGGTTGAAGTAGGTGGAGTGGGACTGGTACCCTAGAACCCATTACCTGTAAGTCCAGTGCTTAAGCCAATGAGCCTCATCTTCACATATACTAGCACATAAATTTGGCCATGACCCGAGTAGATCAGTCTGCTGCAGACGGCTTGTGATCGATCATCAAGAAACCAAAATATAGATTAGGAATATCATGTCAATTTCTTCGATAAGGTCATACTGAATCACTCGAGTAATGTGATACTGTGGTGAGTGCTACTTATAATCCGATATAAGTAGTATATCAGGAACGAAGTAACAACATGTTTGGCACACTGGAAAGAGCATTCAAAGAAGAGAACCATGAGAAGAATGTTGCCATATGATGCAGAATCCAAGAAGCTATCGAATGAGACGATATTCGACCAATTCGTCAAGGATGTGGTAAAGATGTGCAAATGGCCGGTTTAGAATATGGTATTCCAAATTTAGCTATGTACCATACGTTTCACCAAATAAACATTCCTTTCAGTCTCCTCAGTCTTGTCTTCTTTACATTTGGTGTCGCTGCCTCTGCCGGAGATGAAGGTGCCATGGCCGCAGGTGTTCGAGGAGGGAGATGTGCGGACGTTTCTCAGATATTACGAAGCTGTCGCGGAGCTGGTTGGAGTGCAGGAGCAGAAGGCGAAGCTGGTTGTCTTGGGGACGCTGCTGAGGGGCCGCGCGAAGGCTGCGTACGACAACGCTCGGGAGCTGGAAGGTGAGGCGGCGTGGGACAAGGTCGTCGAGAGGCTCGTGTGCGAGTTCGACAGCCCTGCGGACAGACAAGAGGCGCTGCAGAAGTTTCGGACGCTGAGACTTGGCCAGGATGGGGATCCGTTGGTTCTCGCAGTAACGCTGACGAATCACCTGCGACGCGCGTTACCCACCCTAGACGAAGATTCGCGGGAGCAGTTGCTTGCATCTCAGTTCCTCGAATGCGTCCCGACAGATATCGCGCATCAGTTGCAGCTAGTTAACGCAGCTCAGCCAATGGATGTTTATGAAATGGCCAAGGTGACAAGGCAGATAATGACCTCGCATGTTGCTCCAGTGATGTCGGAGGGCCAAGATTCCAAGAAGATCGAAGACCAGATTGAAGAGTTGAAACAACAGGTTGCAGCTATGCAAATAAAGAAAAGAACAAACAACAGATGCTTTGCTTGCGGAGGAACCGCTCACTGGCAGAGAAACTGCCCGAAACGAAGGCAGAAAAACCTTAAACGATACAGTCTTCCTTCTTTTTCTCGCTCGCGTTTAGAGGTGGTCGGGTTAGTCGAAAGAGGTTCAGTGTACGGGAGATTACGGGTGAACGAAAAAGAAATAGTTTGTTTGATCGACACAGGGGTGGCAGTTTCGTTGACAGGTAGAGAACAGTGTAAGGAAATAAGGCCGTGCACATTAGCAGTTCAGACGGTAGGAGGACATCCGTTGCACATTCTTGGCGTTTCAGACTGCGTTGTAGAGATTGGAGCAGGAAAAATACAATATCCGTTTATTGTAACTTCTGATATAAGACGAACGATTTTGGGAGCAGACTTTCTCAAAGAAGTAGGAGCTGCAATCGATATGAAGAATAGAAAAGTGGTCACAAAACACGGGCAATTCGCGGTATATGAGAATAGTGAAGTCGCTGAGGTGGAAACCACAACCATTGTTCCGCAAGATGCACCACGTCTAACCACGTTGATGAGTAAATATGCCGGTTTATTCACTAGTGATGGAGACCCATACGGTTATTGTGATAAGGTTAAGCATAACATCCCACTAAAGGATACGGGGAAGACAGTCTTTTCATCGCGACGAGTTCCGGTTCACCTTGAAGAAGAAGTTAACCGGCAAGTCAAAGAAATGTTAAACGACGGAATAATCGAAGAAGCCGACAGTCCGTACAGTTCGCCAATCCTTTTGGTGAAGAAAGCTAACGGGAAATATAGAATTCGTGTCGACTTCAGACAGCTGAATAGCCTCACCGAAGTGAAACAGTGTGCAATGCCTACCGTAACAGAAACTCTTGATCGCCTTCATAAAGCCAAGTTATTCACCGTGTTCGACCTACGAACGGGTTACTGGCAGATCCCAATAGCAGAAAGTGATCGAAGTAAAACAGCGTTCACAGTTGGGCAGAAACAATACCAGTTTAAACGAATGCCATTTGGATTGGTAGGGGCCCCATTTACATTCAGAAGATTAATGACCTTATTACTGAAGGGTCTGAAGAACGTAGAAGTATATGGAGATGACTTGGTGGTGTATAGTGAGACGGAAAGCGACCATATAGACCACATCGAAGCTATCTTAAAGAGAATTGATGACTTTGGATTGCGGATTAATAAGAACAAGTCCCAAATAGCTAAAAACACGGTTGTCCTCCTGGGTTACAAAGTGGGAAATGGTGAAATACGGCCATTGCCGGAGAAGATCCTGACGGTCAAAACCAGCGAAGTGCCAAATTCAAAGCGAAAGCTGAGACAGTTTTTGGGAAGAGCGGCATTCTACAGCCGATTTGTCAAAAATTTCGATGAGATAGCAAAACCGCTATATACGTTGCTGAGTGACGCAAAATTCATGTGGACGGAAGAGGCACAGCAAACGTTTGAACGAATTAAAGAGCTGTTAGATGGTCAACAGATGACGTTGAAACTGCCAGCGCCGGGGAAGCAGTTCACAGTTTCGACAGACGCCAGTGATTATGGTATAGGTGCTGTTTTAAGACAAATGGATGGGGTTGTTGAATACGCTAGCCGTGTGTTGACACTTGCAGAACAGAAGTATTCTACGGTGGAAAAGGAGTGTTTAGCCATTGTATGGGCACTAGAAAAATGGAGACCATATCTGATCGGCCGCCGATTCGACATTGAGACCGACCACAAACCTCTTCAGTGGTTGAAAACAGCACGGGATCCACGAGGGAAGTTATCACGATGGATGTTACGCCTACAAGAGTATGACTTCACGATTGGACATATTCCAGGAGAAGAAAATGTAATAGCTGACTATTTGTCGAGATCAGATAATGAGACTGAACTACCAGAGGTAGCGTATGCAGTAAACGCTTTGGAGCAAGATCCCTTACAACTTGTTCGCCACCAGAAGTCGGATCCTACTCTTAAGACAGTCATTCAGATGATACGTGAAGGGAAAGAAATTGAAATGGCAGCAGAGAATAAAGAGTTAAAGGTGCTACTGCAGCAAAAACATAGACTCAAACTAAACGCTGCCGGCGTCCTAACTTGGAAAGACAGTGATGGTAGCGGGGTTACAGTGATACCAAAAAGCCTTCGGCGTGGGGTCATTCAAGAATGCCACCAACTAGTCCATACAGGAGTTGCACGAACATACGACCTAGTGAGCCAAAGTGCGTACTGGCCAAACATGAGAGGCGATATTGCAAACTACGTACTCGCTTGCCCACAGTGTCAACTGATGAAGGGTGATCGGTGCATTCGACCACAGCTACAAACGATACCCGTAACGGCGGTTGGTGACTTATGGTCCGTGGACATAATGGGTCCTTTCCCTCAAACAGCAAGTGGAAATCAATACATTTTAATGATGACAGAACACGCCACGCGGTGGGTAAATGCTGTAGCGATTCCAGATCAGCGCGCCAAGACCGTAACCGAGGCGGTTATTCGACATATTGTGGCGGATCATGGTGTACCAAAAATGATATTGACAGATCAAGGCCCCTGTTTTGAAAGTGAGGAGTTCAAGACTCGTCTGGAGGCACTGGGTATTAAGAGGATTAGAGCGACTCCGTATCATCCGCAGGCAAACGGCTTAACCGAAAGGAACAATCGTACACTCAAGGAATGGCTAGCTGCGAAAAGAGGCGACTGGGAAACTGAATTACCGTTGGTATTACTAGCACATCGTGCCACAGTACAAGGGACAACAAAAAAGTCGCCTTTCCAGCTGATGTATGGGAGGAAACCACGCTTACCGGTGCACCATAAGACTTGGCCACAACAACAAAAATGGAACAGTAAGAGATGGACAAGTGAGCGGAAACAAGCTACTCAGAATATACAAGAGAAGCGCAAGATAGACATCGAAAATTATGGCAAGAAACAAATCAAAGCTTGGAAGCTGTTTGAAGTAGGTGACCAGGTGAAATGTAGAGAACGAAAGTATACTACCGGAAGTGGACCAGGATCAGGAAAGCTTCTGCCGAAGTGGGAGGGACCATATGTGGTCACATCGAGACGCGGTCCAGTGTACACAATAAAGAGAGGAGATAAAGAGAAAAGAGTAAAAGCCAGTCTGCTACAAAGATGGAGAGAAGAATGTTAAGACGAGGTACCAGAAG